CGACTTTAGAATTTTAAAATGCACAAGCTCTTGAATTATTTATTTTACTTAGAAATAACGAAGTTACTCGTGTGAAACCACTTTTAGAACCTTTTTCAAGTTAACTGGGTTGTTAAGCACGTTTGAGTTTAACTACATCTAGGTTAGTAACTAAACTGAGATTAAAATGTCAGTCTTCTGTATATAATGTTTATATTTGACTGTACTTGTTGTCGTGTTGTAGATGAGTTTTTTTAAATCTATTATTGTATTTCTTGTTACATAAGCACTTTCAAATTTGTTTAATGTTAAACTTGTACAACTGCAGTTTCGACATTTATAATACATCAATTTTGCTGATCGCGATAATGAAAGGGTTGCGGTTAAATAAGCTTCCTGAGCACATCACTTGGAATGCAAATTAAAAAAACTTTCTTGGGTTTTTAAGGTGGTTTTCTACCGGCGAGACGAGGTTTGAAATTTGTATGACAAAATTTTAATTCTCTCCCAGCCCATTTACGATGGAAATGGTCTGGATTGACGAGGCTGGGCGAGGCGAGAATTGAAATATTTGTTGATGTAATATTGAACCGTATTGCTGCTTACACGGAGTTATTATACTCTCTTATCCGCTCACGCGATGCGCCTTCTACCGCAAAATGACGGCTATTTGGTTTCGCAAATTAGAAAATCATTCAGTTTAAATACAAGTTTTTATAAATAAAAATTATTATTAATGCAGAATAATAATTTTTATTTATAAAAACTAAATAAAAAAATAAAAAAATACATACAGCCGTAGACTCATACCTCAGTTAGAGGTGCCGGTGATGATTTTATACCGATTTATCGGATATCGAACTTATAACAGGTAAAAGAACTAATATTAATTGCTATTTTGGTAAGTACTCTAGCAAACCATGAAGTTTTTAATGCCTGGGTCTGTCATTTAAAAAAATAAACAACTTCAAAAATACGTCACGACAATCGTGTGTGTTATTGTTTGGGCTGGTGATTTCGGTGTTATTGAAAACATACCGTAAGTAGCGTTTTTTGAGTTTACCCTGAATATAAATGTTTATAAACTATACTTTAAGGAGTAATTTCATGGTAAACGTTAGAACCACTCAAACGGAATATTATCATATTTATCCAAGTACACCAAAAATTTCATTAGTGCTTTTTAAGTGCAGGATTTGCGGTGTATTACTGCATTTTATTTGAGATGTTTTTATTGGTAGTACGGAGGGTATTTATTTA